TATATACATAACACACACACACACACACACCACACCACACACACACACACACACATATATATATATATATATATATATATATATTACGTTATGCGAATTCACCTGCAGTACCATGTCTAACTTGAATTACCATCACATAGAACTTTTCACTAAAGGTATTGTAGTTTCTGTTCGATTATATGAAAGTCTCGGAAGAATCAACAGATGAGCACATGGTCTGAGGCAGTTGTTTTTCTGAACGTTTGTACATACCCGCTATTTTGTTATAGCCGTCGAAGAAAAGTTTAGATGCCTTGTAGTCGATTTTCTGCACTACATTCTTCCGTTCTTTCGGTGGCAGGGGATTCTTTGTACTCTTCGTCCTGGAAACCATCGCGGCTAAATTGATGTGTAAGTAACCAAAGTCTAACAGATCTGTCTGCTACCTTCGCAAGGCTGAAGGTATACTTGCATGCAGCAAGAGAGGAAGAGAAGTCGAGGATTACGGAGAGATCGAAATATGAAGAAGTGAACACTATAAAGTATAAAGTATATGCGTACATTATATTTTTATTATTATGAAACCATAGCCTCCCCTATAATAGAACATAGAAACTTTAGAATTCACATATTATTTTAGATATGTAGTTCCATAATCCATTGAGACATAGTTACATACATACATACCCCGTGGCCCGTGCCCTTGGGGCTTGGGCCATTTCTTGCAAATTTCAAATTTTCAATGTGATCCTATTTCTCAGACCTAATAACCCTAATTCATTAGTTAGTCCAAAAACATTTCGGCATTTCCGTCTCGCTTCACGTTTTCAAATAAACGCATTCAACGCTTTCAAGCACTGTAAGTACATATAAAACACATTTTTTCCTCAAAACAATATCACACAGGTGACAGTGCGACACTTTGAGTCTTTGACAGTTGATGTTATAATATATGTATTTTTTTTTTGGGAACAAAACTGACTGTTGATGTTGTGTATTATTTGTTCGGAACAACGCATTTACGTCTATTGTCTGATGGCTTTAGTGAGTATTTACAGACCATGTGTTGCACTGTTGCTAACATATAGTGTATATTCGAATCGTGTCACTGACAGAACTTTCATAAACGCAGTTCATTTCATGATTTTGATAGTATTACCATAATAATTATATTTCTTAATTCGAGTTGGTGCGGCATGAGCAAACGTACTGAGGCAACAAATACGCAAATAACCCCCTGTGGCGATGAGGAACACTCACTTTGTTTTTGTGTAAGAGAAGAACCTTGTTTCTAATAGTTAAAATCGATGTCGAAAGAATAAAATAACCAAATATTAAGGGAATTACAGCCACAGGCTACGATCCGGATTAGAAGGGAATGTACGTACACTTCATACTAGCCCAGCAGAATTGCGGAAGTTATATTTCAAACACAACTGCTGAGACACAACCGTGTTAAAGTTGACAGGCTTGACGGGCACATTGATAAGCTGTAGCAGTCTATTTCATGCTTACATTAACCACATGGAATCAACGTTTATGAAGGTAATCCTTTATATACCGTTCTCTTCTAAACGATGCGTAGTGTTGATTTAAAATAGCCATTATGGGTGATTATGTATAATTGTGCTTCGGGATTGGAATTCTAAAAAGAAATACACCCAAAACATTCCCTACTGTAAATTTGGTATTGGCTGCGTTCGGTCCTTGTAAGTTTATAACAATCAGTAGCGTACCAATGTAGCATGTCTGGTTGTAACATCGCCATCAATGACGCTACAGCGCATTTGTGTTTGTATAGGCGAAATACTGATTTGTGGATTGAAGTATGAACTTGCACGAGTGGTCAAGTACAGTCACTCAGTCAGTGACTTCTCCAGTGCTGGCAGTGCACTCTGACTAACAATGGCCAATGCACGTGTCAAAAATTCCTCAATTTCCACATCCAATAGAAAATGATTAATTTGCTGTTTATCTCGAAAGATCTATCCAATAAAAATTAGCAATCTTCTTGAAGGCTGCAAATGCCAAATTGCAAAAAGATTTATCATTTCTCATTTCTGCCTGAAACAATGTGAGTTTCTATTATGACTCTCTAGAAAGAAGAAGTATGCCATCAAAATGTCCATGATTCTATGTATATATCATTCCTAAAATACAAACAAATACTACAATACAACCATAAATATGAACACAAACATAAATTGACAGCACTTTACTGTACGAATCGATAAACATCTTAGGATTCCCTTGCGGGTACACCAATATGACCAAACCGCCCGTCATGTTAGAGATGACAGAGGAGGATAAGAAGCTAGGCCCGTCCAACATGCTTCCAACAGCACCAGTACCAGCAGCCAACGGAATACCCCCGCAAGTGCCACCCGATGCCTGCATGCCGCCAACACGTTTATACAGCTTATCCTCTATATCCTAATTCGCACGATCCAATGCACACACAGCCATACCCAGGGGCTTCAACTTACCCGCAACACATATACCCGCCGACGACACAGCAGCAAGGAGCATATGCACCAAATGAATGCACCGATACACGAGCGCAATACTCGCCAGCAGGAGAGGTTCCCATAAATGTACAGCCGAGTTCATCCACCTACCCACAGAAACCACAGGCAACCGGAGCCCAGTATGTAGATCCTCCAGATACTAGATTTGAACCTCCGCCTTACGCCTGCAGCGTGTAGGGTGAGAGTGAAAAACAGTTTCAGAAGAAGCAGGAGAAGAAGAAAGCCAATAAGAAACAAAAAGAATGCTGCAAAGGTTGCTGTGATTGCATGATGGAGATGCTTGGCTGCTTCGCCGAGCTACTGTGTTGGTGCTGTGATGATTAGTTTGTCATCACAAGTTCACAACACAGAAATGAATAGTGCATCAGGACATCTGGACAAATCGAAAGTGCATTCAGATTCAATTTGTTCTTCTTCCGTTATGATCTGCTTCTAGTTTATCGAAGTTTGTGTGCTTTACAAGAACAGAGGATAGCAGTCGAAGACATACTTCGGGTTTATATGGGTATATCAACGACAGTAAAAATATATAATCTCTATGTCCGATGAAATTAAACTAGAATTGTTAGTATGATGGCGACCGCAAAAAAAAAAGGGTACAGGTTTTTATCTCCCGGCAACCAGCAGACAATATGGCTAGTACGATGCTGCACCACGGAACACAAAGTGAACTAACATTGTCAGGTCGATGCTTTCAAGACTACTGTTGGTAGTCAAGGTTTATTTCAATCAAGTGACAAGTTCGAATGATCCATAAAAACTAAATGCCACCTCATGCCTGTGTAGCTACGTTGGTAGCATGTACAATAATATTGCTAGTGTATAAAGTCTTTATCATGTAATGCGATTTCCATTTTTTTATTCCCAGTCGTGAGGGCTTCGTCAACGTTCCCAATCCTCCTCTTCCCATATATATAACGAACAAGCGTATAGATCAGTGCTTTGGTCCATTTATGAATAACATCTGATTGCTTGGGTCGATATGCCTATAGGAACATCGATGGGCTACCCCTGAACATTAATGTGTAGTGAAGTACATGTACTGGTGTCTAGTACTCATATTTACTCCATTTTACCTATTTTACTTTCCCGAAATCTCCGGCATATCGACAAGGGATAGTACGATTCATCGCAAATTTGAAGATGGCCCCACAACTAACCATGCTACTAGTGGAAACATAGGCAGACTCTACAAACATGTTTGAATATCTGCTTGGGACACATATCGGCAGCGTAGTGATTCGCAATAGTAAAGTGCAGCTATGATCGCTCAAGTACATCGGAATAAGCTTGGAACTAACCCAAGGATGGGTACTCTTTTCAGCAATCGAGATTTTCCGCTCTTATACTGGTTTTCACACCTCATCGGTAGCGGTAGTCACTGTGAACAAGTATGACTACCTGAAACTATACGTGCGTACGTACCTTGCACTTTGGTTACTAATCCTTCCCCTCGTGATGGGCATTTAAGTCGATTACACTACAGTCGACAAACTTGAGAAACCGATTAAAAAAACCCCCTTAAAACCCTACACTAGTTGTGGTGCCCTGTTATCCATCATGCAGCTACTTGCCACACAGGAAGTTTATGACATCGTCAGGTCGCACCTCATAAGTTTTTCCCTCGGCTCGGAGTTTCCCCGCGCTTTTCAGCGCCGCCACACTCTTGTGCTCGTCCAGATCTTGCACGCTGTAGCATTCCGCGCGGATAAAGCACTGCACAAAGTCCGAGTGGATCACGCCAGCGGCGTTGGGTGCGAGTGTGCCGCTGCGGATGGGCCATGCACGCACCTCCATCTCACCGGCGGTGTAGAAGGATTGCAGCCCTAAGAGTTGGTACATCGCTCTAGATTGGGAGGGTATGAAGTGCGTGAGTGGAAGAGTGTGTGGGAGGATGGGTTGGTCTTCGAGCTTACCATGGTGATGTGTGTAAAGTATGTATATGGGTAGAGTATTTGCGTGTGCCCATGGGTGAGTATAAGAGTTCAGCCTGCATGTAGCATATGTAGCGTCACTTCAAAGCCGGCACCACACTGGTTGGCGTTTACAAATGAATAACCACTCGAATGTATGTTTAAATAGTTAATCCAGCGACGCCTCGAGCAATGTGGGATAGTGTGAAGACCTCAAAGACTGACTTGGACCACGATTGCGATGGAGAAATAGATGTATCAATATATCATTTAGTTCGCAATCATACCGAACTGTTACACATTTTCTTCGTCGAAACGCTCTCACAAAACCATCAGCTTGCGTCACGTGTTGTTACAAATATGTCTCGAATTTACCAATTGGCACATTTTCTTGTCTATATCCCCCCCCCCCAAACTACACACCAGTCAATCACTGGGCCGCTCCTATCCTGCGTCAAGTACAGCCTCACCGTGTTTCTATTCTTGTGGCACATATACATATAACAGTCTCTTTCGTCTCCTGAGATTGCCCATTTACCTGCCTACCAGTGCCACGCCACGGCTGGCTTCAGTGCCGCCCATCATCTCCAGCATCTCCATGCGTTCGTCCTCATTCTCTATCTCTGTGAGATCCGCCTCGTTGGTAGCACACACGGTGACCATTCCCGCTCCTGTGTTGTGGTTTATATGTACATATGCTGCATGAATTGTGTGTAGCTTGTATGAGGAAGTAGGCATGTGCAGCTGACACACACAGCAGCGTGTACCTCTACTGTGGAGTGTTTTCTACGTGACTGTGTACTGTGAGTGTAACCATAGCAACACGTGCAGTGCCAGATGGGCAGAAACACACTTCTGGCAGAGCAGTTGAAGTGCGACTATATATACCTAGGATGAAGCAGTAGACAACCAACTCTTATCAAGTAGATAGCGGTGGCACCAGATGAGACTGAATACCGAACTTTGCAAATGACTACCAGTACAGGACATGCAGGACCCAAGGCAGGACAGGACATGCACCAGCCAGTTGCCCCTTACATCGCAGGCATCGAGCGTGTTGGTATCAGTATGTTTCTTAAGGCCGAAGTGTATGCATGTTTGAGATACTGAGTATATTTATAGCTTTAGAATGGGTGTATGTGCTTAGAAGGGATTCCTGCACCATGCCGTTGAGAGACCGCGAATTAGCAATGTGTTCTTTTCCGAGATACTATTTGTATGTAATGCAGAGAGAGGGCCAAGGGTGTATGTGAAGGTGCGGGTGTATGGGAAGGAACTGGCCGCTCGAAACAGCTGGCGTTCAGTGGGTGTGTTGATGGTGGGAGTTAGCGAGCGTGTTTGATCGGAGACACAATATATGCGACCCACGTGTACGTATGTCATTCCTACTAAAACCCTAAAATCCTACCCATCGCATATACACACTACAGAGCATAGCCCCCAACGGACATCATACCATTGGCCTCGGCATGCTTAAGCAGTGCTTGTACCTCGGGTACATTGCCACCCTCCGCCAGTGCATTGACTTGGTCTAGGTCTACATTGCCCACATACAACACAGGCTTAGCCGTCAGCAGTCCCAGCGTAGTGATAGCCGACGTGTCTGATGAAGTGGGGGGATGAATACAAACACACCTGAGTGATGCGACGAACAACAGAATAGCCCAGGTGTTTGAGGTCACGCGGGCAATGGCGTATAAAGCGTGTGTGTATGTGTGCGTATATATATATATATATATATATATATATTTGTGTGTGTGTCTGTGAAGTGCAATGTGTTATCGCTGACTGACTGATACGCTATCCCGCGGGTAGATCCGGTAACTCGAAAGGGAAGTCAGTGTAGACGACGGGGGAGGGACGAGATAAAACGCATTCGAAAACGGTTTCTCTGGAGAACTACAGATGTGTGAACATTATAATATGGATATGCACAGCTTATGTGACAGAAGATGTAGCATTCGGTGGCAGAGTGAAGATACCAGACGGCCTGTGCCTGATATTGGAGAATGAGTACATTCTCATGACACGAAGTAAATACTAACACTTAATGATCAGCAAGCAAGCAAGCAAGCAAGCAAGCTAGCAAGCAAGCCAGCCTTCCCAACGCAAGCAGGCAAGTAAGAGTCCCTTCACACCTTCACAACTATGTGTGTGTCATAGAGAGTTGAGACGTACACCGTCCCGTTAACACCCGATGTGACTGTAACAGATAGTGATGAAAATAGTTGTACTAACAGACAGTGAGGTAAACAGTTGTACGGTCATGAGTAGTAGGTACACACCTGATATCACGTGACAGTACTTAAAGTCTAGAAGGTCTCTTGTTGAGGTTCTAGATTTACGTGGACATGATTGCCCCGACTGGCCAAGTACATACTAATCTGAGGTCCCCCAAACACGGCTTTATAGAACCTTCTTCATTTGCTATCGAAGTACAGTGCAGGCGTATTCCGGTGCTTGCGTACGCCTGTCAACATACACAATATATACATACCCGTACTTATACATATATAC